TGTCAAACGATCGCATTGAGAATTCAGAGATTCAGCCATGTCTAGAGTGTATTGCTCGCGCATGTCCGAGGAAACAAATATAGACTGCATGGCAACCTCCACCTTGACTAGGGGTGCATCTAAAAAAGTGACTTGAATCTTTAATGCAAGATCTTTTGACTCAAGAATGTGGTAGATGTCAGCATACTCGGATGGAATCAGCTGTGCACAAATGCCGTGCGGTGCTATAAAAACTTTAATCTGACATCAAACCAGTTTAGCAATTGTATGAATGCCAGCATATTAATAGTAAAATATCACAACACCACCTTTTTGGAAATACTAGAGTGTTTCTTGAGCCATTCTGGATTTAAGGGCTCCAACCTAAGGATAGACTGAACAGGCTGGATAACCAGTTTTCCGTACACCAGATAAATAAACAGCCGAAAAACACAGATTCCACGGCTGTTTGAACGTGTCAGAAATTCTATAAACTTGTCAAGTCCTGGTAAACCTACTTACGTTGGCCAAGTACATGCATCCAAACTTTTCAAAAAATAGCATCCAAGTCGTGTATAGCCAAGCTTCCTACAAACCCATGCGTAAGTGAGAAACAAGTCTCATTCAAGTCTTTCCAACTATATGTTTTAAACAGAGCACTCCAACATCTCATTGCAACACAAACCGTTCAAATAAATTATGCATTGCTTCCAGGTAAAGTGTATATTCCCGAGTAGATTTATTCTCTGTCGATCCAGCTGTATCATAGATTTGACTCGCATCAAACCCTCCACGGCTTGATTCTAAATAAATAAAAATAGTAAGCACAAGATTTGAATTCTGAACATCTCGACAGACATACAAATCAATATACCCCGAATTAATGTGGAAACAGGTATATATGAAGAAACAGGGTTTTGTATGTTCCATGAAAACACCCACAGTTTACAATCACTTAGATCTACAATTACATCATCCAGAAACTCTTGGAGTGATATTCTACTCAGATCCTGTCGAGCCCATACAGCAGCAAACCCTAAATCCAAAGACCGCTCCAATTCTTTATATAAAAAAGTTTTACAAAAATGCGACATGCGAGTAAGTTGCAAAGTAGGCTGCCTATGAGGTAGTTGCAGAGTGGATGATTCTGGCTGAATCGGAATAGTTAAATTGGCTGGATTTTCAGCCATTGATGAAATACAAGTTGGTTCCAGAAATGTGCAAGTTGATGCAGTTTTATCCTGAAAGTCTGTTTCAAGTTCATTCCGTGCAGAATACTGAGAAAAAACAGTATATTCTATGCGCCGTATATTGTTCTAAGTTGCAAATGGGTTCATTGCAGACACTGTGAATTCAATGTTTGACAATATAAAACACATGAAATAATCATCCGACTTACAATAACAAATATATTGGTCAAATCTGTTTCATTCATCTTTGTAGTGTGTGGATCTCGACGACTATTCTAATAATAGTTTACAAATCAAAGCAAAAGAAATGCATTTCACGAATGTCAAACTCAAAGTAAATTCTCATCACATGATATCACCTGACTAATGGGTTGATTCTTGCGTCGCGTTGAAATGGCTTTACAGCGTATTCATACGGAATGAAATATTAGAAATGTCAATTTCATGTGATGATTGATACTAATTTACTGCAAAACATTGTGTGATTTTAAACTTGTAACATTCAACTAGTCTTTTGGTGACTGGCGTATATAATTGCACTCTTGAAATTGTTCTTTTTGAATTAAAGCGTATCTGCAAGGTTTTAAAACACACGAACGAGTTTATCTAAACTGCAATGCACGAGTCGGATGAACATGAAAAACTATTTTAAAAAAGCGATACTTTATTGATCGACGCATTCAGTTTTCAATACAAAAGCAAATAATTCGCACATTTCTTATTTCAAGACAGTCGATGCAAGAAACCTGTTTTGTTCTACGCGAATCCGAGTTGACAATTCAATGAACAAACTAGAAAATCATAGTTTGAACCACTCTGAAGATGAAGGTAAAGTTGCTCAATTATTTCAAAGAAAATATCAATCGAGTCTGTCTATATCATTCAGCTTAATTGGCACAACTTTTATGTTCAGTTTTTATCAATTCAAACTCTTCAATATTCTAAACAGCCCTTTTGCTATGGACATGGACATGGACATGAACATGGATTCAAAAGACTTGCATTTTTCTGTATCAAAACTAGACCTTTGTTCAGTGATAACTCGGATCTAACATGATTACTTTGATGATGGATTCCAACTGCATTGAATAGCGAATTCAACTTTTAATCATTCGTTAGCAAACGATGAGCTTGTTTCTCATTGTATATCAGACTCTGGACCATCGTCTACTCCACTCTCAACACCATCAGATATACACATAGCCAAAGGAATCTCGTCTGATTACTTTCAACACCATCAACGATCAGTTACTTCTGAATCTACTCCAGGTCGCAGAGATAAACTTCGAAAAAACAGGCAGTCTCAGCTGCTACTTGTGTCGTTGCTGGAAGTAGGTTCAAATTGATTATCAGACGCTTTGGCTTGGTCTCATAACAGAAAGCCTAACCCTGACTACTGCAATGCATTAGAACTTTTGTATGTTGTATGATTTGTCAGGAGATAAAAACAAACAGCTGTTTTTTGTCTTGTGCAAACAGCTGTCAAAAATGGGAGTATGTATTTTGGCTTGGATATGCGCTGATGTTGCTATTCGTGTCCATAAAACATTGACTATGTAAAATTAGATTATTGCATCGAGCGATTTTATTGAAGAATTATCCACAGTTCGAGAAAGTTACAAAAAAGCATTTCGAGAACTGGTTATGCAGGCAATGGAAGAGGTTCATGCAGTTGAAAAGAGTCAACGACTACTCATATATACCGAATCGGATTCTCCAAATGAAAATCTCTCCCAGCCACGACTTTCTTTATTATACTCTCAATCTAATGTAGACTCGCAGTGGTACGGCAACGCTTTGGAAAATTTACCTTCTAGGTATGTATGCTTTACCGGGTTTTATAGCTTAAAATCATGTGTGCGTTGCTGCTGATTCTTTTTCATTTATAGGAGATCTTGGCCGTCACAGGAAATGCATTTAGAAGGATCTAGTCCATCCGATTTTTCAGAGTATCTTCAAACCAAAACATCTAGATATTATGATGATTTTGATGAGCTGGATTGTCTTGGTCGTGGAGCATTTGGAAAAGTTCATCGATGTCGCAATCGATTGGATGGACGTGAGTACGCTGTCAAGAAAATCAGATTGGTTGATCGAAACTCCAAAAACATTGAAAAGGTATGATTAGTGCTGGTTTGTGTTATTAGAGGTAATCAAACAGCTATATGAAACTCATACTACAATATATTCAGGTGCTTCGAGAAGTCAAATTACTCGCTAGAGTGGCAGATCCACATGTTGTGCGATACTATTCATCGTGGCTAGAACATGTACAAGTACCGAATGAATGTTCTACTGATGCTAGTGATCTGTCAGATGATTCCACGTCATGTGTTGATACATCTTCATTAGAATCAGTATTGTCATCTATAGAAACTGAATATTCAAAAATTGTGTTTGAGCAAAAAGCACCAGAATGTGATGCAACATTTCTACAAGAACACCAAAGCGATCGCATTACATCTATTGTGCCAGCTCAACAACCTGACTTGTTTGAATCTGCAGTATGTGTCCAGGGTCCAAACTTTCGTGAACTGGCATTGTTTATTCAAATGGAATTGTGCGAAAACACATTACACGACTGGCTGGAAAGACAAAATGCCTGCACTGACAGAATGATATCTGCTAAACGAAAACGTGCTGCTATAGATTGCTTTAGTCATATTTTGTCTGGACTTGCTTGTATCCATTCTCAAGGCTTGGTTCACAGGTATTTTTTGATATTATGTTGACATTTGACCAAAATTGATGTTTTTAGATAATGCGTAGCATAGTGATCGAGTATAGTACTAATACGATTTGTAACTGCATGAATTTTCAGAGATGTCAAGCCAAAAAATATTTATTGGAAACCATATGAAGGAAGTTCAAGTCGAGGAGAATGGAAGCTTGGTGACTTTGGACTGGCGACTGTATCTGAATTGCCTATTTCGTTATCACCCACTTTGTCAGATACTGTTTTACCAGCAGAAAAAAGTCATTCCAAACGAGTTGCGCGAACCATTGGAGTGGGGACGATAACTGTAAGTTGCTCTACAGCAGACTAAAATGTATCAACACAGCACATGCTTACATATTGAGTAGTATGCATCACCTGAACAACTTGATCCGCAACAATCAGATTGGTACACGCACTCATCGGATATATTTTCGCTAGGAATTATACTTTTTGAATTGTTATGTGTCTGCCGAACAGGAATGGAGCGAGCAACATTGATCAGTAATCTACGATCAGGAATTCTTCCAGATCTGCTTGTCAAGGAATATCCAAAAGAGGTAAACTACTTGCTCAGATTTCCAGAATCACAATTGATGTGTGAATATAACGCATTGTTTTTTAAAACATGGATTGTGACAGGCCACACTTATTCTATGCATGACGGCAGAAGATCCACTAAAAAGACCGACTGCACAACAATTGCTGGTGGATTTAAAACTATTTGAATATGCTTTACAAAAAAACAAACATCGCAATGTGACTGAAGTGCATATCCAAACCGATGAAGTGAATATAGACAAGGAGCAAATCGATCATGCTGTTATTGGCAGCAAGACTGTTTTGAATTATCCTAACACAGTAATGCAAGACCAATGTGTTCAGACGCCAATAGATTGGACATGTTCATGCAATCATGACAAGGAAGGATTAACAGCACAGTTATTGGAGCGAATTCGAGATCTAGAGAATCAATTACGAGAATCCAATAGTAGATATGACAAGAGTTTGACTAAATAAACTCATAGAATTGTACATGAAAAATGGGATTAGTTTCGTATTAAACACGAATAAACTCGACTTTTATCAATTATACTCGACACATTCAACTCCAATTCACACATTATCAAATGTATAAAAAGATGAATTTCTTGACAGAAAATAAATGGCCAAAATAGTCAAAATTGGCCAAAACCAAACAACCAAAATGCTTGAATGGCCACAAATTGCAATCCAGGTTTGACTTGACATGGATTCAAAGCAAGTGGAAGAGAGTGATGGGTTAGTAGAGAGTAGAGAGTGTGTCGAGACTGCGACCACTGGTGTAAAACATGGCACTTCCAGCAATATTCGACATGTTCATCATCCACATCCTTATTACACTCAACCACCACGACCTTTACACCAACATGCATCCAAGGCTATGAAAAGCACCATCGCCTCGGGTAGCAGTAGTAATGGTTATTCCAGTGGAGAAAATGGACATCCTCATCAGCATTTGACTCCTCAACGAAGGCTTGTTCGGAAGGTTTTCAATCGTAGCGCGAGCATGGCTTCACCGTTTTTAAACCACGATAATAATATAGACAATCCTACTCATGCTAGTAGTAATAATAGTAATCGAAGACAAGCTGCTCTGTACCATAAACACAAATCACAGCAACTTCTTATGGATCTTCAAAGAGAACATATACCCGCTGCTTCTGCCTATAGCACTCGCGTCAATCGAAATAACGCTACACCACACAGTACGCTTAAACATCGTCATTCATTCACCATTCCGGCTTCTGTAGAACTCAGGCGTATGGATTCTCGGCATCAATCATCTGCTAATATTCCTGCTTCAATAACTGAATCTAGTTCTATGGCTGATTTTTCACACGATAATTCGCACATTTCTCAATCACCCGAAGCATCTACTTCTCAATCCTTGTTCCATTCACCCATCATCACATCAACTGTGTCTTCAATCACAAGATCGCTGCTATCTCCTGCAATCAACTCCAACTACTTCAATACAAATGACAATGAAAGCTTGTTGCAATCGCCGTTTCCAAATAGCCCAGAATATCCGCCCTCGACTGAATTGGGTATTCCACGTCCATCTGATTCAATCTATTTCATGCACAACAACAATATAGAAAACAAAATGGCTGCTAGAAGCAGTAGTAGCAGTCATTTTTTGTTTGGATCTCCTTCTCGTGATGATGGATCGTTTCATTCAAGACGTCCTTCGGTGCCTATTGATCTGTACAATGATCCTAATTTTGATATATTTGATGCATCTATGGCTACTCCTAACAGTTTTTCACACAATACTACCACCAATAGTATGTATATACATGGATCGTTTGCAAGTGCACGTTCTATGGAATTTCCTGATTATGGTGGAACACGGACTAGTGCAGACTCATTACTCAGCAATAGTTTCGATGGTAATCGCATGTACAAGACTGAACCAGAAGAATTGCATCAATCAGATAGTCAAGAAACAATTGATTCTCGATATTTACGCCAGGGATCGTTTTTACGCAGGAATACAGTCAATTCTACAGTCAATACTCATGGTCGACCATGTCCATCAGTTCTTACATCTACGATTGATTTATGTAACACCATCATGGGAACCGGACTAATGAGCATTCCATATGCTTTTGCCACGGTTGGTATTGGCTATGGATCGTTTTTAATTTTGTGCTCAGCTGCCGCGACATGGTTTTCTGTTCGACTGTTGATCTCATCTGCACAGTTGGCATATGGAACTGGTACTGGCCGTATTCCTCAACAAACATCGCTATTTATTCAAGAAGGTGAGCCATCATATGGTGCATTGGCTAGGACAGCCATGGGTCGTCAAGGAGCAATGTG